CGTGGTCAAGGCTCAAGAAATATCTGGTCGTTTTAATTTTTAATATCTTAGGATAGTTTAATTTTGTGAAAATAGAACAGATCAAAATAATTCCATAACCATAATACAATATATATAATTAAAAAAAAAAAAGACAATTAAATAACTCTTGAATTGAAACAGAATAATAATTACCTTGATTAAAAAAGACAATTGAATAACTCTTAAATATCTACGTGTGGAGTGTTTCTTTGTTTAGGAAAATAAAAAAGCCGGTTTTTTAAGATGGAAAAGGTCAAAATAATAGCAATTGGATATACCACGTAAGGACCTGGCCTTGTACATATACCTGTTCAAATATACTATTGTGCTTACTAATCCTTGGCCTATATATATGCAAAGTATCGAATTGTTGGAAACACAAATTAAATTTGTTATAAGCCAAAACCACAAAAACAACAACTAAGTGCTACAAGAGTTGTGTACAACATATTATTATTATTATTCATTAATTATAATGGATATTTCTTATCCGTATTTCATCAAAGTAGGTTGTGCTTTTCTAATGATTTTTGTATGCGCAACTTCATCCCAAAATACTAGGTGTCCATTTCAGTATTTGTACCATTTCGGAGATGGGGTAACTGACGTGGGCAACTCCATTCTGGTTCTCCCATGGGGGCCTTCACTTCCGGCTGCACGTTCGCCTTATGGTCGAACCTTTCCCAGTTGGCCTACTGGCCGCTGGGGTGATGGTCTTATTGATTTTGATTATGCAGCTGCTGAGTTTGGATTTCCACATATAACTCCCTCTTTGTCGAGCAATGCTAGCTCTAGCAACGGAGTCATATTCTCAGTAGCAAGAAGTCCAGTCCTCGACCACACATTTTTCAAATTGAGAGGCATCAAAATTCCACCGTATGCGGTTCCTCTTAGCCTTCAACTAAGTTGGTTTAAAGCACACCTAAAATCCGTTTGCACGTCACCAACAAGTAATTAATTATATTAGTGCAAATATATATATATATATATATATATATATATATATGTGTGTGTGTGTGTGTGTGTGTGTGTGTGTGTTAATCAGCCTTCTAAAATATAATATAATTCGTTAATTATATTTATTTCTATATGATCAGACTGTGCAAATAGGTTGGCAAATTCTCTAATACTGCTGGGGGATATTGAAGCCAATGACGTGGGCTACTCACTGATTCAGGGTAAATCAATTAGAGAAGTACGGACTTATGTGCCTTACATAACAGAAGCTCAAATAAGTGCAACAAGAGTAAGTACTACTATATATCTCCAATTAATATACTAATTATACGTATAAACAAAATCTTTTCAACACTAACCAAATTAATTTAACTGAATATATATTGATGCATCATGCAGGAGCTGATCAACATGGGTGCGAGGCATATAATAATTCCTGGAAATGCTCTAATTGGTTGCTTTCCATATATCTTAACTGCACTGCGTAGCAATCATCCCGACGCTTACGATAATATGGGTTGTATTAAAAGCGTAAATGATCTAATCGCATATAAAAATGACAATCTCCAAGCAGCTATGAGAATTCTGAGCAGAGAGTTCCCAGACGTTAGCATAATGTATGGCCCGATGGACGAAGGGATGCGGCAAGTTATTACCGAGACATTAGCAGGCCAGTAATTGTCTTTTTTATATTATTCATAGCGCATGTTTCTAAATTAATTTTCACTCTTAAATTAATTGTTTCAATATTTTTCTTGAAAGCTAATTATTATTAGTTATGTTATTTGAAATCTACAGGCCCGTTTAGAAACACAACACTGCAAGCTTGTTGTGGAATTGGAGGAAAATATAACTACAATAGCAGAAGGTTTTGTGGGAGTCGGGGTGTGCCTGTTTGCTCCAATCCAAACAATTACATATTTTGGGATGGTTTGCATATGACGCAAGAAGCCTCGCTTCGAATCGTCAGGATTCTCATTCAGCCCGCACTTTCTACACTAAACTGTGCAACATAATTTTGTGTCATATGCACGAAGCCAACCTATTGATCAAATTTGCAATAAAGTCATTACACATATATATAGCTAATTATTATTTAATATTTACTAGCTAGCTAGATGATGCGAACAAAGCCGCGTCAAATACATATGCTATTTTGTGTCTTCTGTATTTTCTGATGGATGTAATATTTTGATTCTTATTCAGTCAAAAGTTGCCTTTAAATTCGAATTTTACAAATACATATTGACGCACGTGCAATTTAGTTCTTCGTTCAAAATGTTATATATTGTTTTTCAAGAACCCATGATCTCACAGACTTGCAATTTCTAAGAAATAAAATCATTTGTTTAGTTGACTTAATTTTTATATAGCGAAATGGAATTTCAAGGATGATAGACAACATTTTGTAGTTTAAATAAATATAAATACTAGTGATTAATTAACAATATATGATATTCTTATATTATATTTGTACACTATAGAAAAGATATATAGAAGCAAATATGCTACAATTAACTCATATATGTTTCACCAGAAATTCTATGGCACCTATGGTGCCACAACATGATGTGGCACATTATGATTGGTGTCACACATGATGTCGCACATTATTTTTATTTTTACCGAGAACCGAATCAAAAGATTCGTTCCCCGGGTCGATCTCTCAAGGAAGACGTTTCGGAATTTACCGTTGGTATTGATCACACACGAAAATAAAATAAATCCTAAACATTCTAATCATGGTTGATTTAGAGAATTAACTAAACAAGTCAAAACTAGAAAAACAATTTAAAGAAACAACAATTAAATATCTAGAGAAAAAGAAGAAGTTCTAGGGGTCGGGAAATCTCATCAAGTTTCAAACTATGTTGAATGATTATTTGTTCGGTTACGAGATTTAACAAGCCTACACGTCTAGAGGGCTATGCTCAATAACTCTTCGTAACAAGAGCACATACATAAACGATAAACTCATTCAAACAAGCAACACATAGACAATACATTTCCGAACATGTCTACTCTATACGAGCCTAAATCGACCAACGCCTTCCCTCTCGGTTCTACACGTTGATTAACTAGGTTAGAATGGTGATCAATCAACTAACCCTATAATTCACACAACTCGCATAGATTGAACAAAACACATTCCACATAATTCAAACAAGAATCAAAATCTCTAACCCTAGGTTAAAGGATTACCTCATGCTTAGATTCAATCTCATGTTAACTGGAATTAAGGACATTAAACCAATCAACAATAATAAAATAGAATTGAAAAACTTACAATCGGATTAAGACTTGAAAGATTTCAATCCAAATGTCTTTGTGTCCAACAATCCAAGCATGAGAAAATAAAAAGAAAAGCGGAGAAACTTATCCTAACAATATTGAGTTTTTGGTGAGGAAAATTGAAAGGATCGATATTGAGGGTTGTTCCTTAGGTCTGGAGGTTCGTTTTTATATATAGTGCGCGAAAAACGGAGCTAAAATGAGTAAAAACGAGCAAAAATAAAAACAGGGGTCGACAGGGTCGCGACTCGCGAGTTGACTCGCAAGTCGCGAGTTGGACGGGTCGCTGAGCTGCTGGAGGCTCTGTTAAAGTCGCGAGTCGCGACTTTTTCTCTCTCGAGTCGCGACTTTGTGCTCGCGACTCGCGAGATTCTGGGCTGCACTGCACCATTTTACGTTTTCGCCTCGTTTGAGCTCGTTCGAACTCGGAATTGAGTCCCGTTTTTTCCTATGCGTCGCTAACGAACCCCTCTATCCAATTATGCTCTCGAAACCAACTTTTCCTGAAGAGAAATTGGCCCGAATCTTTCGACCTACACACCAAAAACGACAAAACACAAAAGAAAAGCGGAAAAACAAACAAAAAAACACCTAATGACTCAAAATGAAGGAAAACACATAATAAAACAAGAAACGGACTAAAAACTAAAGAAACAACCTAAAATGGGGGAAAACGAAAGATAAAATAAACACGAAAAACGCAACAAAAATGGGACAAACAACTCCCCCACACTTAAACCTTTGTTCGTCCCGAACAAAAAGAAAAGAAAAGAAAAGAAATGACACAAAATTAAAAACCCGAGCATGGACAACAGTCATTAACAAGATAAGCTTCAAAATGTTTAACTTCAACAACAAGCATTCAAATGGCATATACGAGCACCACACAACTACATGCTTGATCACTATACTTCGACATGGCGTTCTCTCAGTATGGGAATATATATGTGTGTCTCACTCGAATTCTTATACAAATAAAGATAGGTGCACTCAAATTGGTCGATAACAAGTTCAATCATATGCTTGCCCACAGTCTAACTTCTACTCTAAATTAATCAAAATCGAAACTAGTGCATCAAAAGGTCTTTTCAGGTTGTAACGTAGGCTCTTTGGATAGGTAGGATAAATATAGGCTAAGTGGCTCGAATTCTATTTAACTCAAACACCTTACCCCAAAAATTATACACTCAACTGGTTGCTCAAACAAACCGGATCCTCCCCCACACTTCTCCTGAAACCACACGTTTCACCCATTTTATTTCATTTTTTTTTGTGTAAACCTTATTG